CAGGTGTAGGGGGAGGGGCCCCCCCCCGAGGCCCTTCAGGGGCAGCGAGCTGCTGCTGAGTGCAGCAGCAAACAAACCCTGGAGGCCCCGCTGCGCCGAAGCAACTGCAGCACCAAACAAAGCGAGCCGCTGACTCAACTCTGCTGCTGCTCCCCCTCCTGCTGCTGCTGCTGCTGCTGCTGCTGCTGTTCCTGCTGCTGCTCCTCCTGCTGCTGGAGCGCCGCCAGGAGCTGCTGCTGGTGGTGGTGCTGCTGCTGCTGCTGTAGCAGGGGCCGGTGATGCTGCTGCTGCAGCAATACCAGGAAGCCCCACTAAGCCACCGCCCGCTGCGGCTGCAGCAGGAGCAGCAGCAGGAGTAGTAGCAGCAGCTGCTGCAGGAGCAGCAGCAGCTGCTGCAGCAGGAACTGCAGCAGCAGGTGCAGCAGGAGCAGCAGCTGCTGCTGCTGACAAAGGAACCCCAACATTAGGAGCTGCCTGGACAGCCGGCAGCAAAAACAAACCTGCTGCTGAGGGAGACACTCCCGCTGCTGCTGCTGCTGCTGCTGGTGCTGCTGCTGCAGCTGGTGCTGCTGCTGCTGCAGCTGGTGCTGCTGCTGCTGCAGCTGGTGCTGCTGCTGCTGCAGCTGGTGGTACTGCTCGTGCTGCTGTTGCTGCAGCTGGAGCTGGTGAAGCTGCTGCTGCAGCAGGTGCTGGTGTTGCTGCTGCAGTAGGCGCAGCAGGCGCTGCAGCAGGCGCTGCAGCAGGCGCTGGTGGTGCTGCTGCGGGTGAAGCTGCTGCTGCAGCAGGTGCTGGTGATGCTGCTGCAGCAGCAGGAACTGGTGATGCTGCTGCTGCAGGCGCCGGTGTAGCTGCTGCTGCTCTAGCTGGAGGCGGTACTGCTGCGGTTGCAGCAGCCGCAGAGGGGGCAGCAGCAGCAGCAGCAGCAGCAGCAGGTGGCACTGCAGCAGCAGCAGGGCCCCGTGCTGCTTCGGGGGGACTCAAAGATCTCGACGAAAGGGTCCCGCCGGAAGAAGCAGCAGGAGCAGCAGCAGCAGCAGCAGCAGCAGCAGCAGCAGCAGCATGTTGCTGCTGCTGCGAACGTGAGTCCTGCTGACTCATCGTCAGCAGCTCTCTGCTGCAGCTGTTGATAGGGTTTAGGGGGCCCCCTATGGGGCCGAGGGGCCCCTGAGGAGGCCTTGGGTGTTGTTGCTGCAGCAGCAGCTACTGCAGCAGCTGCGGATACCGTTGCTGCTGCTACCGCTGCTGCTGCTGCTGCTGGTGTGGCCGTTGCTGCTGCTGCTGTGTTGCTGCTGCTGCTGAAGCGCAACAACTGCTGCCATTGACGGGGGCCCCCAAGATGAGGGGCCTCAGGGTCAGCAGGGGGCCCCTCGGGAGAGGGGGCCTCCACAACTTTGCTGCTGACTCAGAGGGGATGGGTCCTGCTGCTGCAGCGACAGCAGCAGCAGCAGC